ATACATTTGGTCTGACACCTAGAGACTTAGAAGACATGATGCCAACAGAGGTAGCTTTCATGGTAGTGTGTGTGTGTGTGTGTGTGGTCACAAGTCTTTATTAAGGCTATGTCCTTCCCCTATCCAGTTTTTTACTGAAACTTGTAAAAGGAAATTAAAGTATCTGGTGCTCACCCAGATATGAGGCCTCTTACTGTTGACCATTATGATATTAGGCATCTTGTATTAAATCTACATTCCTTTCTTTTGGTAAGCTATAACTCAGGAATTGGCTCTGGTGGAAACTGCTACCTCCCTGCCCTTTGCTATGGATAGAGCTAAACAGACTAACCATAGGGATCCCAAGGCAACTCGCCAGCTCACATACAGCCCCCAACTGAATGCATGGGAATTAATTTCATATCTTGCAGACTCTGATCTTTGGAGATAGAGGTCCAGATCCTGATCTTTTTTTTTTTTTTTTTTGCATAGCTTTATGATCCTAGGAAAATTATTAACTTCTATTAACCTTAAATTTACTCATCTGTAAACTGAATTTAATAAAGTCTACCTAGCTGTACTGCCTTGCCAAATTATGTGCACACGGCATATGAAGTGAGAGATACAAAGTGCACAGCAGTTAGTAGGAATTAAGGCCCTATTATGTTGTTATTCTAAATATAATTGCTTAACAATTTTGAGTACAACCATCCCAGAAGTATCCAAATGGAATGACCAGTAAGTAGTAACATCAGTAAAGACAAAAATACATTAGGACTAGAAAGGACCTTAATAACCATTTGATCCAACTCCTTCAATTAATACACCACAATCATTAGGATAAGTTGATAACCTACACAAGGACACTTTCCAGAAAGTGTCAGAATTTTGATGAATGAAGACAGCTTCCCTTATGTATTAAAAATGCCATTACTAGCTCCAAATTAGTACACTGAATCTTCAAACCAAAGTTCCGTTGAATGAATGACTACTATATAATGATCCTGTGGTAAGTAGACCCTCTTCCCACCTTCCTAACTAGTGAGGATAATTAGCTTTGTATATACAAGCCATATTTCAGCAAAGTTCTGGCATGCAAACTAAAGGGCTTTGGATCAGCAACTAAAGCTTTTAGGAACATTTCAAATGATATCACAATACTTTGTTTTGTAACAAATGAGCACTGAAAAGTAAAGCGAGCACTGAAAAGTAAAGCGATATAGGTAAGGAAACTGGGTCCTACTAAAGAAAGAAGAGGCAACTGGGAAGATCAGGGGGAAAAAAAGAAACCTTCAACTTAGAAGACAGTCATTCATTTGAATGAGAATAGGGGCTGGAGTGAGGTTATTCTAATGGAAAGTAATTTTCTCATAATTCTGTCCCTGGTGTGAACATTGTTCTTCTAGTTTTTCATTTACATGTTCCAATAGTGGAAATCTGGTTTGGAGATGGGGGTTATGAGCGATTGAAGGGAAAGAGAATTCACATGGATTGTCAAAGATAAGCCCATTCAACCATGGGAAAATCTTTAGGACTCTCTTCAAATGAGCATTATAGTGCTTCCTTCACTTCTGCTGACTGTAATTGCCACAAAAGTATACTGCAAACACTTTCCTGCTGAAAAAGTCAGCCTGATACTTGTTTATTTATAATATTACCTATTGATTGGGTTTGTGCATAAGCTTCAGATGACTCAAGGTATATCGCATCTCTTTATTTAAAGATGTTTATGAATATGATTGACATCCTCATATATTTTACATGAGGTTCTGTCTGTGATGAAAGGCATCATCATAGAATAAAGAGTTTTTGATTTCTTTCTCAAGGCTGTTATCTCTGTGAACCTGATATGTAGCACCAAACAGTTAAGATGCTTGGAGATCAAAGTGACTTACTGACTGGGTCAAAATTAAGACAGTCATAATCACATAACATCTGATTATTGGCAAAAATAAAGTGAAGAGTGACCCTGTAAGTATCCCGTGCATTGCTCTTATCTTCTGAATGCAATTTCTTGCATTATCATAGTCATTATCTTGCATTATCATATCTAATACTTGAAGAATATCCTCAGTAAAATACCAAGCTGCTGTTCTGTTTGGGAGAAGACACATATCTCAATCGCTGTTTTATACCCAAGCCTGTGAGCACGGCAAAGTTGTATAACTGCACGGACATTTGACATGTTAGCTGTAGCATAACCAGGGCTAAAACCCGTCAGCATTTCAAACTCCTGGTTTCACTTGAACCAACTATCAAGTCACATCGTTTCTTCTTGTGTCAAAGGAGTTGATATTATATGTAAAATGGTTTTTCATTTAACACTGGCCTATCATAGCTACATTCGAAATTAACTAATTCCCTCAGGGTAAACCCAAAGGAAATGCTGTAGCTACTTAATATCCTGAAAATCTGGAATGGGGGAATTTCCAGAGTTTTTATTACTGGCTGATAATTATGTTCTCTGCACAGATTCATAATATTTATTCTGTAGCTGGCCTTCTAACCTGCCTTTATTTTAATTTTGTTTAATTAGAAACTTATCAAATCTATAATTGGGTAAGCATTTATTTCTCTCTTGCAGACAAATGCCCAAGTTTTGGTCAAAGTATAAGAAAATTAAACACACACTCATATACATTCTACATGCAACAATAGTAAGAACAACATATTATTATTAGAATAATACAAACAATTAAAAGTTGTTTTTATTTGAACAAAGTTCACAGGCTGAAAAAGTTTATGGAGCGTCTTGGGTAAATAAACCATGTTTAGGGATACTTTCACAAATGACATAAAATGTTACCTCAAAAAATAAAAATCTTCTTGGTGAAGAAAATTCTCCAAATAATCTGTATACTTATACAAACTGACTATTTGAAAGGAGATTTATCTTCCTCAATACATGCATATAAACGTTAATGGATTGTAGATAAATAGCAAATCAAAGTCCTAAATTTAATGGATAAAGTATGTGGACAATTGAAGTCTGGATGAATTGTGGAATGCTAATGTTAGCAAGTAGCGTGCATTCAATTGAAATGTTGATTGGAAATAAGGAAATTAAACTGTCACTGATGAAATACTAAAGCTCATTATCACAAAGTTTCATTTTAAATATTGAGAATTAGCTTTATTGCTGCATCAGTAATGATAAGCATGATCCTTAAATCCATGCCATTTAGGTTTTATGAGCATTATTACAACATATTAACCATAATTCAATTAATTTACAGAAATTGACATTCTACATTTTTTTTCCTTGCTCTTAAGAAAAGGTGCTACCATAAGGAAATCCCAGCCATATTCCTATAGAATATGTTCTATCTATTTTACCCTTATTCCTCGCCCCACCTTTGTGGATCTTCAAAATATTCACTATTTCCAGATAGGTAAATGTGCTAAAGGAAAAACAGCTTTTTCACTGCTACACCTTTGCATCATTAGGACAATACTGACCTCTAGTGTTTTAGGAGGTAGAGAGGCTAGCTCAGCACCTGCCTAACTTCCTCTAACTAAAACACTTAGATGTTTTTCTAAGGCACCATGGGAACAATTTCACTTAAAAGAAGAAAGAGGAGGAGGAGGAGGGAAGGGAGGAGAGGAGGAGGAAGAGAAAAGAAACATCAGATTCTAACCTTTTCCTACCTATTCTCTGAAATGATTTCTACCCTAAGTCCCTCTGGCTTCTCCCTTTTAGAAAGGTTGACCTCTTCAGCGCTCCTTTAGAATAGAAACTTTAATAAAATCTTTATAAGGCATTACCACTAACTATAGATTCTGAAACTCCAAAACTTCCAATCACAGAAACACTGGTTGTGCTTTGAACCATTTTCACTAAACAACATCTGTCTAATTGTCTTCCCTTGAGGTGCAACTCTGGGTTGAGTATCTCTTACTCAAGAGAACCTAAGAGGGTGGGGAGTAATGTAAGGGGACTCCCAAGTACAAAGTAGTCTTCCTATCTTTCTCTAAGAGTGATGCTATGTTCCAATACAGTTAAGCATTTCTGAGGTTCCTGGTGGGGTTAGCGGACAGAGGAGCAAGCCCAGAAACTCAAGGAACCTTGATAAACCATCTTTGGAAACAACACAGATGGCTTAATTGTGTTCTTTCTCATTTAGGAGTTTGCAAGCTGGAAAAACTTCCCTCCCTCTGCCTAGAGAGGCAGCTGAGCAATTGAGCTTGAACCTCTGATGGCTCTAGCGATTTATTCAACTTTGACGAACTGGGTTCTTTAAATACACAGTGCAGGTGGCAGATCCCCAGGTGTCCAGCCTTCCTGCCTATTAAATTAAATGCCCTGCACTTGCTGAGGTTAGAGCTTGGACGACAGAGTGAACACTTAGTGCATACTCATTATGTGTTCTTTGGCACAAAGATTTTGGGGGTGGAGTGTGCATCAAAGCTCTTCCTCCTGTAACAGGGGCAGCCATTGATCTTGTGGTTTGACTACATTGGGCCATGACTCTTAGGCCAAAACTCCCAATCCTATTAAACCGATGCCTATCGGTTGCAAGATACCCCAACTGGAGCCTTCTGCCTAGGGGAGAGCTGAAAGCCATGTCTAGTGAGGTACTGGGCATATTGCAAATCCCAGGCAGCCGCATTCAGAGACAAGCCACTGTCACCGAGTCTGGTGGCTGGGAGCATCTCTCTCTCTCTCTGGAAGCTCAGCCCTCAGTGCATACAATCTGAACCCCCGGGCCTTTCTCCGGAAAAGCTGTGGCTGAGACCAGGCAGGCATAGAACGCGGACCTGGGATGAGGCTCAAGGAAGAGCTTCCCTTCTCCCCGAACTTTGCGATTCGGGGAGAAGGGCAGGAAATTCAGCGGGGCTGGCTCATCCTAGCTCTGCTAACTTTTGGGATGGTTTGAGTGATAGAACCACACCAATCAGCATTTTCCCCCTTCGCCTCTGCCCAGAGCAGACACAATTGTACATGCTTGGACAGTTGAGTGTCTCTCCCCAACGCTAGCGTTTCCCACCTCACGTGCCCGCCCCCAGCTCCTGGTACTCACAATTTGTCGCTGTTAATCCTAAATGCCACAAGCCGGAGAACAGCAAAGTGAAAACGCTGGTCAGCCTTGGTACAGAATCCATTTCCCCCGAGTAAGCGGTCCCTCCCGATCAATCCCAAATTCGCAGGCGCCAGCCGCGGCTTCTTCTTTCTCTCTCTCTCTCTCCCTCTCTCCTCGGCACCGCCTGACCCCTTCCTACCCCCCCAGGAGAGGCACTCGCGGCTTTACTCCATCCCGTGTCCAGACGCTCCCCCGAAAGCGTAGCGGGCTCTGCCTCGGAGCCGCGGCTGAAGCTACGGTCCCCGCAACTGCCGCTTGCTGTACTCGCCCTCCTCGCCCGCCTCTTCCTCCTCCCCCCGCTCCTCAGAGGTGCAAATTCAAGCCCCGCTGCAACACCAGGCTCCGAGCGGGGCTGACTGCCACTGCACCCCGGCCGCCGGCGCTGGAATCCGCACCCCGGCCGGCCGCTCCTTATAGGCGAGCCGGGCGCGCGGCGCCGCCCCCGGCCAGGCCCGCCCCGCGCTCTCCTATAAGAGCGGCCTGGGCGGGTCCTCGGCGCGCTCGGGCGCCCTGGCTCCGGGCCCCCGTGCGCTCCCACAGCCCGGGGGCTGGGGTCCCTCTCGCGTGGGCGCGTCTCGCTCCGCTCCCCTCTCCACCCCTCCTCTGCTCCCGCCCCGCCCCCGCTCGGGGGACTGCGAAGAAGCCCTGACATTTCAACCAGGTTTTCCAAGAACATTGCTGCCCAAGGGATGCTGAAAGGAGTTGGAAGACAGACGCATCAGCGAGAGAGAATTTCCCATGGAAAGCTTGGCAACGAGCTAACGAGATGCCTTTTCTTTTTTTCTTTTTTCTTTTTTTCTTTTCTTTTTTTTCTTTTTTTTTTTTTTTTTTTTTTGAGAGGAGAGGGAAGACTTGAATTATTGAGTGATGCGCGATTTTTTCCACCGTGTTTGTTTCCTACTATGGAAGGCCGACGGGTATTGATATTGGCATTTCTGATTTAGCTGTTTAACGTTATATCCGCGTCCCTGCTCTTCGACCCTGCGCCCCACTCCAGTCGTTCGCACTTTCAGGGCGACCACATCCACGCCTCCCTCCTCTCTGTTGGCACGTAGCTTGGGGCGAGTACTGCAAGGTGTCCAGGGCTTTAGGTTCCCGAGAGAGGGAGAGACAAATTAGGTCTCTCAGTGATAAATGATGCGAGTCAGGGTGGGGGTCCTGGTTGGCTCCAAAGATTGGAGATCTGAGCCCGCCTCCCCCCTCCCACTCCCCCTCCCATGGAAGGATTTAAATTTTAAAAGGGGGTAAAGAGTAGTTCTGGTTTCTTCCTAGAAGCTTCCTATTGGAAACTCTGGTTCTGTCTTTGGCTTCTAGTTTACATCTGGGGACGCTCCTGCTTTACCATATCAATTTATTTTGTTTTTATTGGAAGCTGTCAGAGAGCTGTCAAACCTTAACAAAATGAGGGACCATAATGATTTATCCTATGTGAAGCTTACAATCAAATTAGGGGTAGAATCACTTCAGAGGAAGTTGATGTCTCCTCTTCCCCCCCCCCCCAACCCCCCTGCAGCATCAGCGCCCAGGCAGACTTATTTCACACTATAGATTCTTGACAACAGCCTTTGGTCTTGATTGAGTTGGGTTTCATGCAGCTTCTGCATGAATCCTGAGGTTAACTTTGTGGTTTGGGTTAGAGCTGTACTCACTGCATTGGAATACTAAAAGGTAGTTGAATGACAATTGGTTTTGTAACACCATTATTTTATTAGAGAAAAAAAGAATTCTGAGGGGCCTTTCATCTGTAACTTGCAATGACCCTCTTGTCTGTAAGCTTTTTTTTTTTTTTTTTTTTAAGATTTTATTTATTTATTTGAGAGAGAAAGAAAGAGAGAGCACCAGCAGGGAGTAAGCAGTGGGCAGAGGGGGAGAGGGGAAGAGAGGAAGAGGAAGTGAGAGAAGCAGACTCCCTGGTGAGCAGGGAGGTGGGGCTCAATTCCAAGGCCCAGAGATCATGACCTGAGCCAAAGGCAACCAACTAAGCCACCCCAGTGCACCTGGTCTATAAGCTTCTAACTGAAAATAATTATGTTAGCTACTAGATTCTTGGGCAACCAGAAGACTTCTCCAGCATAGCCTTTACCTGTGGAAGAAGGGCCATGCCCAGGAGATGGTGAATCACAACAGATCAAAGCTTCGGATGATCCAAAAAGCTGCCCAGTTGGCAGAGGTCTGAGTAAGGAGGGGCCTGGTGTTCCAAGTCAAGCTGATCAGGCCTGCCTTTCCTTCTACTGAGGGCCCCAAGCAGCTGCCACCCATCTGTGGCCCTTGAGCATTTCAGGTTTAAAAATACCTATGTGGCTAGTTTAATCATACTAGAGAGTCTAGAAAAAATACGCACCATTATCCAGCTTTGTATGTTCTTTAACACTTAGACATGTTTTAGAAGAAATAAAATAGTACAAATATAATTTAAGTTGCTTTTGCATTCTTGCCTGATCCCATTTATCTCCTACCATACCTAGAAGTAAACACTTTCTTTTTCATTCTTATACATCATGTTTTTATACATTTACCACACATATTTACATCCCTAAATGATATATGGTATCACTTTGGTTGTCTTTAATCAATATATAAATGGTATCATACTGTTTCATTTTACATCTGCGGTTTACTCAACATCATAGTTTTTGAATTTATGTATTTGGATACATGTAGTGCTAATTCTTTCATTTTAACTGCTGTATCATATTTCATTTTATAAATATGCCACAATGTATTCATTAATTCTACTACTTATGAATCTATAGATTATGTCCAGTTTGTTTTTTTTTTCCTTTCTTTCTTTTTAGGGGAGGAGAGCAGAGGGAAAGAGAGACTCTTAAGCAGGCCTCATGCCCAGTATGGGGCCCTATGTGGGGCTAGAGCTCAAGACCCTGAGATCATGACCTGAACCAAAATCAAGAGTCAAAGGCCAAACTGACTGAGGCACCAGACACCCCTCCAGAGTTGTTTTTTTTTTTTTTTTTTTTCCCCCCTCAACATAAACTATACACTCTTGTACCTGTCCCTTAGCATTTCTCAAATGCGTACTTAGGAGTAGAATTTCCGGGTCATAAGGAATGCTTATCTTCAGCTTTAGTAGGTCTCTCCAGTTGCTCTATAAAATGATGTTAGCAATTCACACCCCTTCCCCCATTAGCAGTGTGTGAGATTTCCTCTAGCTCTATAACTTTGCCAAAACTTTAAGACCTCTCTTTTTACAAACGGGAAAATGATACACAGGGAATACAAGTCTTTGTTCGCTGAGTTTAATGCTCCACTACATCATCCCACCTTCTGCACCAATCCAAAAAATACTTAGATAAATAAAATATATTTTAATTATGGAAGATATGGGATTCATTTCCTGTCACAATGACTTAAAATTGAATCTATCTATGTCAATAAAATGTGCTCAAAATATATATTAAAAGACAATCAGGGAAATTGTTACATGAAGCTCCCAAACTGTGAATAATCTTCTAGATATTAGTAAGTATTGGAACTCTGCATTTAGATGCCCATATACAAACCTAGTGTATACTATATAAGTTGCACCTAATTTAAAGTCCTATTTACAGTTGTAGCTTTTTTCTCTCTCTCTCAAATACACCTGTTCTCAGAGCAACTTTGAGCCCTAAACAGCAGACATTTGTCTAAGATTTGTTAACGTTTCAGTAAGAATACTGCAGCTCTGAATGGAGCGAGGGGTAAACAGCTGTTCCTCTTAGACAATAGTGTAAACAATGCCATCTTCTGGGGGCATTTTGCCAACAAGTTTTTATTAGCTGTAGAATATTAATCACTGTTAAGACTCTTCTCAGCCAGATTGATATTTACCTTTTGAAATTCTTTTGTAAACCTTTTTGTCTGATAAATCCACCTTTCAAATGCTGGAGTAGAAGCTGAATAATCTCCCCATTTCCCCCATGTTACTTTATATAGAAGAAGAACTCATACTTGAAGAGTGCCTTGCTTTGAAGAAGCTTGAAAATTATGCATAGATAGAGCAGATTGATTGCTAACAGGAAATGGGGTAAAATGGATAATTGAAATCCTCAAATGCGGGCATTTTAGAATGATAAATCTGAACATCTTCTCAAGACAAACTTTTGTCCAAAATCTTAAAAAATGAATGAAGTGGACAGGGTGCGATGTTCATGTCCCTATAATTTTCCCTCGGGCCCTTCTATTTCTTTCCCTTTAATAGAGCAGAAGGGAAAGAATCATTCATCTACTGGAATCTTAGCCTTGGAATATTCAACAAGTGGTTTGCCTCATTGATTTTATAATCCTCCTATGAGGTATGTAGCAAGGATGTTTGGTCATCTCCATTTTACAGATGTGATCCTAAAAGGAGACAGGTATTGACACATTAACTATCATACAGGATTAATGACCCCAACCCATACAGCACTTTAAAATGAAAACTCTTCATCTTTTTTCCTTTATCTTTAGAGAGCTAATAGGTCAAATTCACTGTGACATATGGGTACCTGTCACATATGGGGGAAGAGCCGGCATTGGTCACAATAGGCTACATTGTTGTGAGTATCGGCATTTTTAGATTATTTCAACTTCACATATTTATGGTTTGTTGTAAAGATGGAAGGATGATTTCTGCTGCCATTCATATCTTTAAAATAGAGTTTTTAAAAGTAATGATGTGGCAGAAAGTTAATTTAATATTTTTCCTTTCACCCTTACTTCTTTAAAAAAAATGTTTTCTTTCTTTCTTTCTTTTTTTAATTTTTTTTCCTCTTTGGAGCATGGGGCCGGTAACATGCTACACTTGTAGGATGTAGGAAATAGGAAATCTGTTCCTGCTCTCATGGAGCTAGAAATGATCTGGGAAAGTATGATGTAAACACATTAAAAAGTTAAGGTAACAATACAAGTTAGCATGTGATTAAGTGCCAAATGGCTCAGATAATAAGTGCAATAGGAGTTTTTAAGTTGACAAAGATTGCTTCCTCTGGGAAAGAAAACTTACAGTTGGCATAATGAGGTGGTTGTCTTTTGGGGGGTAAAGGGATTTGAGTCACCCTGGGCCATGAAGATTGTTATTCAAGTCAGGTTAGGTCAGGTATCTTTGCCTCACAGGAAGTCACATTTTCATGTTATGCAGGCAAAATTCTACCTTACAGGATAGGCTTTTCTATTTAGGCAAATGGACCTCAGCCAAAGGTTGAGTACAATTCACTTGAGCCTCTCCCCACTCTTTTTCTCTCCTTGTGCCATCTCAAACACAATCTTGTCACCACCATACTTACCTTGACAACAAAACTAGTCATCTTCTAATATCAGTCTCCTGCAAATAGAACAACCCTTTATGTACCTTTACCTGAAATGCATGTTTCTCAGCTGGTAATATTTCTTGCTGT